AAATCTGGCTACCAAGTGAGAGGAGGCCTCCATGAGAGGAAAGGCAGCCCCCTTGCTTGTGGGGCTGCAGCGTTTCTGCATCTGCTCTCACCAGAAATGCCTGCGACCTTCCTGCATGAACCCAGCGCCAAGACCACTCTCTCACGGACAGGAGAAGAAGACATCAAAGGTAGGCTCCCTCCTGTTCCAACTCAAGTTTGGTCAGGTCTTTTGTCCTTTAATTGTATTGTGGTCACTTTTGTTGCTTTCAAAGCCTTTCAAATGTGAGGCAGGTTCTGTCCTCTGTATAGCGTGGCTGTAAGGATGATATCTCAGAACTTCTCAAAGCAGAAGGCGGCCTTTTTTCCAACTTGCAAGGACATTGTGATGCATGAAGAAGGTTTTTTGGAGGCCTGTGTGAACTTCTGAGGTGTTCTTAGAAACGGCACATCTCAGTGATATTTGGATTGGATGCATGGGTGACCATAGTGGCAGCTAATTAAAGTGAAAGTTGTTCAGGGCCCGTATATTCAGGACCTGTTTGGACCATTTGACGTACTGTAGATTTTGTTTAGGGCCTGTTTTGCCTATTTGTTGCCTTTTAAAGGGTTTGGGACCTGCCTACCTGCGTGACCGCATCTCCGTTTACGAACCCGCACGCTCCCTCCGATCATCTGGAGAGACCCTGCTCACGATCCCACCTGCGTCGCAGGCGCATTTGGTGGGGACGAGGGACAGGGCCTTCTCTGTGGTGGCCCCCCGACTCTGGAACTCTCTCCCTAAGGACATCAGACAGGCCCCAACGTTGGCTGTTTTTAGAAGACTGAAGACCTGGCTGTTCCAGTGTGCCTTCCCAGAATAGGAAACTCCTGGCTTCAAGTCCCAAATGCACTTTGTTAGAGATTCAGGATTATCTGCACATTGCACCTACCGCCAAATACCTCTATATATTACCTGTCAGGTTCAGCACTTTTATTTTTTGTCCATTACATTTGGCCCGGCCCCTAGTTTTTTAATTGCATCACGGTGTCATTGTTTTACTGTTTTATTGTTTTGCTTGATGTTTTATTATTTGCTTATGAGTTTTACTGTGTATTGTATGTTGTTGTTGTCGGCGGCCTCGGCCTTTGTAAGCCGCATCGAGTCCTTCGGGAGATTTTGCGGGGTATAAATAAAGATAATAATAATAATAATAATAATAATAATGGGAATCCTTTGCAGTGAAAGCGCTGTGGTTTTTAAGTTTGAATACGTTGTGATGGATGTTAACTGAATTTTTTTTACTCCTTTTGTGTTTAATTCTGTTTTAATGTTTGTGTTTTTGTGTACTTTCAATGGGATACTAATGCTTTTATGTCAAGCCACTTTGAAATAGATGGATGGATAGATGGGTGGATGGATGGATGGATGGATGGATAGGGAGAGAGATGGATGGATGGACGGATAGACAGACAGACAGAGAGATACACAGATGGGTAAATGTATGGATAGATGGATGGATGGACAGGCAGATAGATACATAGATGTCCACTTTGAGTCCCCTTTGGAGAGATAAAGCAGGCTATTATTATTATTATTATTATTATTATTATTATTTACATTATTTTGTGATTATTTCAGAGAATTATTATTACCTTATTTTTCCATTATTTTGGATATTTTATTTTATTTTATTTTACATTATTTTTATATTATTTCTGTGATTATAATATCGAGGTGCGGTTTCCACTCTGTCCACAAGATGGCAGTATAGGATTGCAAATCAGCCTCTCTAGGCAAGTGCAAACATTCCTGGGTATTATTATTTTGATTTTTCCCCATTTTTTCTTTGATTATTTTGGAGAACATTTGTTACTATTACTTTGAGGCCTCTGGGTGCAGCCGGGAATTGCGCTGGCCTTCTTTGCCACCTCACTGGAGTCAGGATAGGAAAGTGGGAAAGTGCAGAGATCTCCAAACCTTAATATTTTGTACTATTTTGCATGTTTATGATTTGCAAAATGCAGGGTGTGCTCTGCCCATTTGGCACCTTTTTAAGGGTTGTTCAGGGCCAGTTATAATTGTTAAAATATCAAATACAAAAATTAAAAATTAAATATATCTTAATATGCCTGACACTCTCAGCGTGGATACACTATAATAAATGTAAAAGGTAAAGGTTTTCCCCTGATATTAATTCCAGTCGTGTCCAACTCTGGGACTAATCTGAAGAGCCGGCATTGTCCACAGACACCTCCAAGGTCATGTGGCCACGGGCAGGACTGCATGAAGCACCGGGCACATATATGGCTGCTGCTAACGACATTCAAGAAAGGAGAGAGGGAGGGAGGCAGAGAGAAAGAATGAAAAGTGAAAGGAAAGCAAGGAAAGTAGGGAGAAAAAGGGAGGAAAGAAATAGAAAGGAAGGATAAAAGGAATGCAGAGAGAGAAATGACTGAAGAGGAAGGAAAGAAGGAATGGAAGGAAGGAGGAAAAGAGAGGGAGAAGGTATATGGAGGCAAGGAAGAAAACCACAATGGTAATGCAAACCAGGGCTACACTGGGTATATACGCCAGTGCCACAATGATCTGCCAGATACATTTACTCAGGGTTGTGTTTGGAGACAGATTCGGAGAGGCGGCTTGCACTGACTTCCAGAAAGTTTTGCTTTTATTTATGACTAGCCGTCCCCTGCCATGTGTTGCTGTGGCCCAGTCTGTGTTTTGTGTATGTATTTGTGTATATGTGTATATACGTGTGTTTGTGTATGTGTGTGTGTGTGTGTGTGTGTGTGTGTGTATATATATATATATATATGGTTTTGTGCATGTGTTGTAATGTATTTTTTATTTTTTGGCTTTTTAACTCCCTTCCACTGTGTTATTTAGTGTTTTTACGAGTGATGGTCATTTGTTGGCCTGATAGATATCATGTGTCCAAATTTGGTGTCAATTCACCCAGTGGTTTCTGAGTTATGTTAATCCCACAAACGAACATTGCATTTTTATTTATATAGACTAGCCGTCCCCTGCCATATGTTGCTATGGCCCAGTCTGTGTATATGTGTGTGTATTTGCGTATATGTGCATTATATGTATATTTGCGCATATATGTGTGGTTTAGCGCATGCATTGTAATTTACTTTGTATTTTTTGGCTTTTTAAGTCCCTTCTGGTGTATTTTCCAGTGTTTTTACGAGTGATGGTCACTCGTTGGCCTGACAGGTGTCTTGTGTCCAAATTTGGTGTCAATTCGCCCAGTGGTTTTTGAGTTATATTAATGCCACAAACGAACATTACATTTTTATTTATATATATTTTGCTTCCTGCCCCTTGCTTTCTTACGGTTGGGCCGAGCTGTCACGGCTTGACAGGAAACAAAGAGTAGGAGGCCAAATGCCAAAGCAAGCCACCTGTGGCTTACATTGACATGTCATTAGTATTGGTCCCTTAATCTTTGCGATCGATCGGCAGATCCTGGATAAACGGGGACACATCGTCTATACAGACACTGAAAGGATGTCAGAAAGATCATAGACATTTGTGTGATGTTGTTTGAGACAGCCAGGGGCGCCACGTGATCAAGGAATGAATGGACCAGGCTGTGGTTGGGAGTCAGCTGCATTAAAATCACTACTGAGTTTGAAGCTAGTTAGCTCCCGACTATCAATAGTCTAGCTTGCTGTTGACCTTTGCAGCCCGAAAGACAGTTGCATCTGTCAAGTAGGAAATTTAGGTACCGTTTTATGCGGGGAGGCTAATTTAATTAATTTACAATGCCAAAAAATATCTCCAGCAGTGTGCAAAAGAATGAGGAAGTACTCCATTGGTGTCACAAGTGGAGGGTGAAGCGACAGCTGCCCCGGTGGCTGGAATTCAAAGCATACCCTCATGAAGCTAGAAAGTTAAAGTGGCTATTTATGTTGTGTGTCTATGGCAGGGGTCCTCAAACTAAGGCCCGGGGGCTGGATACGGCCCTCCAAGGTCATTTACCCGGCCCTCTCTCAGGGTCAATCTAAGTCTGAAATGACTTGATCTCATCAGCCCAAAGCAGGCCCACACTTCCCATTGAAATACTAATAAGTTTATATTTGTTAAAATTGTTCTTCATTTTAATTATTGTATTGTTTTAAGTGTTTTTTGCACTACAAATAAGATATGTGCAGTGTGCATAGGAATTCATTCATTTTTTTCAAATTATAATCCGGCCCTCCAACAGTTTGAGGGACTGTGACCTGGCTCTCTGCTTAAAAAGTTTGGAGACCCCTGATCTTAAGGAACCCACTCTGAGTCCCCCGCAGGGTGAGAAGGGAGGAAAATAAATACTGTAAATAAATAAATCATAATGTGGTGAAGCTTTTAAACAGAGGCTGGATGGCCATCTGTCAGAGGGGCTTTGAATGCAATTTTCCTGCTTCTTGGCAGAATGGGGTTGGACTGGATGATGGCCCACGAGGTCTCTTCCAACTCTATAATGAATCACATATTCCATTTTCCTGGCTTAAGCGGTTCTCATCAAGAGAAAAGGAACTGGTCGTCTCAACACATTCATTCTGTACCAACCAGAAGTGCCGTGCCTTTACAAAGTGCTTTGCATGTAAGCCAAGAGTATCAATGAGTTGGGAGTCAGAGGCCGGGTCGTAATAATCCCCCCCACCCCCCAATTTCAAAGCAAGGCCTGGCATGTTTCCGAAAACCTACCATCACAACACAACACGAGACCAGGGAAGTCAGCATGATAAAAATCTTTATTAACAAACTGTTCCCTACCAGCAAAGGTGCCATGTTTTGTTAGATCCGCTCTTCATAAATCTGGGTTACAGCTACACCTTTTGCATTGATCTACCCCGGGCATGGGCCAATTTTGGATTTCCCTCTGGGTGTTTTGGACCGCAACTCCCACACTTCCTAACAGCCTCAGGCCCCTTCCTTTTCCCCCTAGCACTTAAGCGGCTGAGGGGGAAAAGGAGGGGCCTGAGGCTGTTAGGAATGTGGGAGTTGCGGTCCAAAACACCCGGAGGGAGGGCCAAAATTGGCCCATGTCTGCTCTACCCTCTTCAGGCCACAAATGGTAGAAAAGGAGGAAGGAAGGAGGCGAGTGCAGTGGCGCATAAAAGGAGAGGAAGGGGAGAGGATGCGCCGAGCGAGCGAATGCCTGGCGATGGAGGAGACAGAGAAACAGAGCTGCTCTCAAGGCACGGAGGAACCGCCTTGGCCTCCGTCTTCTTCCTTCCATGCCTTCCTTCCCTCCAAGCAAACAGGTTTCCTCCACACATCGCGATCTGTCTCCCTGAGAACGTTTCCCCTCCCCACGCCCAATCAGCCCTTCTCATTATTTCACCAATACCACCGACATAAGAAAAAGAAAGTCCGGCTCGTGGTTCGTCCATTGGCACCCACCCACCCACAGTAAGGCAAGCCTCGCAAGGCAAGAGCCTCTCCGCCCCAAACAGGCCCCCAATGGGCGCAGGCTCTCCCTTCTTCCCCCCCATGAGGCCATGTTGACAATGTGCAAAATAGTTGTGTATTTTTTTTTAAAAAAAGAACATAAATATGGAACTGCTACAAAAAAATAATAATACAGAATGCCGAGAACACAGTGACTACGATTGAAACGAGAACTATAAAAAAATAACTTTTGAGCATCACTCTCTCCTTTCAAATAAATACAAAATAAATAGGCTTGAAGCGGTAAAAACAATTGGAATGCAGGCGAGGAGGCGCCCGGGACGCAGTCAGTTGGAAACGAGGAGGAGGAGCAGCAGGCGGAGGCAACCGTCTTCCCGCCTCCCGCCTTGAGTGGCCACTTCCCCATCAATCGGTCACTCGGACTTGCAAACCAAGGCCAAGGTCAGTTAAGCAACTGACTCCCTATCCCATCCTTCATGCAAACTCTAGCATCCATCTGTAAAGATCAGAAGCGAAATGCAGCAGGCAAGGCTCGGAGGTTCAAAGGGGGGGGGGTCCCCTCGGCACCGGCAAGGATGCATTCGATGCCCCATGCAAACAGATCTCCCCCAAAATGCTACTTGAGGAGCAATGCTGTTGCTGCTATTGTCGCCGTACGCGAGCCAAAGCCAGGTGCAACGAGGGTCCCAAAGAACACCCTGGGCCTCCAGCAAAGGCAAACCAAGAGCCAGGCCCTGGCGGCTGCTGCTGCGGCTGTTAATAAGTGCATCTTGTTAGCGGTTTTAGAAGGACACACATACACACACAACTCAGTCACACCTACAAAAAAACATCTAACCCAAAACAAAGACTGTCAACTCCGCCAAGGGCAAGCCTCGGGTCGGCTTTGCCCTTCAACCTTGGTTTTGTTTTGAAGTTACATTGCAGTGTCAGGATTACAAAGTCGAACAAAAATTGCTCCAACGCAAAGGAATGCATGTAAACAGCAACTTGCTTTTGGCCCCAGGCCGGCCGCTCCTTCCCCGAGGCAGCAGGTCTTGTAGGGATTGGGAGCCAAGGGTAAGAAAGGGATGCCACCCCACGCAACAGCCCACAACTGGAAGAAGGGGATGCGCTCTCCTCCAGCTCTGGATTGGCGCAAAAGGCTCGTAAGGGTGATGCTAAGAACCAGGGCAGCAGCAGGAGCAATGCCTGCTCAAGAGACTCCCCTTGCGCTCCCAGGATGGAGGGCTGCGCAGTGGCTCTCTTGATATAAAAGGAACACACCTGCCCCTCAAAACAGGCCCAAGGCTTCTCCCAATACACCCTGCCTGACTGCCTGCCTGGGGCTTTCACAGCTTGGCTCGAGCAGCATAGTGTTGATCTACACAGTCAAAGAATGAGGATGTCCCTCCCTCTTCTGCCCGCCGGGAGCCCGGTCACCGGGACTGCACCCCCAGGGTCATCTTGAGGTTCTCGTAAACCACGTAGCTGATGCTCACGGCCGGGATGACCTTCATGAAGTTGGGGGCCAGGCCCCGGTAGAGACCAAAGGCGCCCTCCGTCTTCAGGATGTGCTTGAAGAGGCCCGTCATGCTGACCTCCGGGGCGCCTTCAATGGATGCTGGAAGGGACAACCAAACACGAAAAACACTCAGGCATGCTGGATTCAAGGCTCTTCTATCCTTCAGGGAAGCTTGGGTAAGGGGAGCTCTGGGAACTAGGGCAAGCTACGCCGCATCTCCTCCTTCAGTGACAACACAATCAGTGTCTCAGGCTGAACCACAGGGGTCACTGCAGTTGGGCTGTGATGGCTCTGTTAAGCCTATAGCACATAAGTTGTAGTCACACTGTTGTGTTAGTTTGATGCAAATGAGGATGAGAGTTGATGTGGGTGGTGTGCTAGAGGATTGCAGAGACAGAGTTTGTACATATGCTACATGGGAATTTGGATTTTGCACAGCTGTAGTCAGGACTGTTCCATCTTCATTTGTCATCATCTGATTGTGTAAGTCAGGCCTGGGCAAACTTGGACTCTCCCTCCAGGTGTTTTGGACTTCAACTCCCACAATTCCTAAGCTCCCTCAAAACTTGGGAGCTTGGGAAGCATGGCCGGTGGGAGGGGGAACTCACCTTGGGCTTGCATCCGTGTCCGGACCAGGGCCAGAGGGTAGCTGGCCAGTTGCCCGCAGGTGCTGGAGATGGTGCCGCAGGCCAGCAGGACAAAGACCCCGGGGTCGGCACTGTTCACGGCGTAACGCTGCAGCCAGCTGTTCTTCAAGGTCTGGGGAAAAGGCCACAAACCAATCAAGAAACTGCCCGCCATTCAGCAATCTCCTGCCCGCCTCAAGAGGTCAGAGGACGGGGGTGGGTTTGCCCCATGTAAGCCACCCTGAGTCCCTTTGGGGAGATGGAGGCAGGGTATAAAATAAAGTTGTTGCTGTTGTTATTATTATTGCTGTTATTATTATTATTATTATTATTATTATTATAAATATTAAAACAGAGTTAAATATTACTTGCTTTAATCATTGCAACATTGAATTATATTTTAACTTTTTAGATTTGGTAGGTTTTTAAATAAATGGAGCTGCCTTGGACCTCAGTCTTGGTAGAAATCATGATGATGATGATCTCACAACTCCTAAGAATGCCTGGCATAGATGCAGGTGAAACGTCAGGAGAGAATGCTTCTGGAATATGGCCAGAAACACACAACAACCCAGTGATTCCGGCCATGAAAGCCTTTGACAGTACAATGATGATGATGATGATGCCTCTGAATACGCTTGGAGCAGAACCTCAGAAAGTGCCCTGCGGACCCTGCTTTCCCCGCCTTTCCTGAGCACGCTCCACAAGGACCCTTCGAGGAAGCAGCCTCTCACCTCATACACGGCCAGGTCGATCCCAGCGTAAGGAATGATTCCCAGCATGTTGGGGACGTAGCCCTTGTAGAAAGCGCCCATGCCTTCTTTGGCGAGGATGTTTTTTGCGCAGTCCAGCATCCCCTGGTACTGGCCCGTTTTGCGCAGGGCCATCCGCGTCTTCAGAACCTAGACCGTCAGAAGGAAGGAAAGACGCGTTACAGGAAGACCGCTCAGCAGCCGGGGAGCAAACAGATGTTGCCACCAAAAAAGTGAACTCCCAGCCCAGAACAATGTGCTGGGAATAAATGAGGGCCAATGAATTATCAGTCAGGGTTAACGTGGCGGGAGGCCTCCAAACAAACTGAAGAGAAGAAGATGAGAACTCACCTCCATGGGGTAGATGCTGCTCTGTGCAATGGCTCCTGCCAAGGAACCGGCCACCAGCCGCTCATGAATCCTCAGCACCTCCTGGTCCGTCCCAATGAATCGCTTGATCTGTGGAGAGGAAAAGCCTGCCATTAGACCTGCCTTGTCCAAGCCATTCAGGTCGTTCTCCCGTCCAGAGCAAACAAGAGCCCCGCAATCGTTCCATGCATCTCATCCATATGCTCCCGGGCTCTACCTGCTCGTAGGCCATGAACTTGATGGCGGACTCTGGCGCAATCTTCAGGACATTGATGCCGTTCCCTCGCCAAAGGGACCGTGGTCCGCCCTCGCGGATCATCTGGGTGAAGCCTCCCACGATGCACATGTTGTTGCTGCGCGAAGCATGGACCTGAGGGAGGAAGAGGAGGGGCGATGAATTATGGACTTTGGCTGACACCAGGCCTGGGTCAATTACCGGCAGCGAAGAATGGTGGGAGTTTGGAGTCCAAAACTCCTGGAGGGAGGGCCCAAGTTGGCCCAGGCCTGGCTTGCACAATCCAATGATGACAAATGAAGATGGGCCAGTCCTGACTACAGCTGTACAAAGTCCAAATTCCCAATGTCTCAACATGTTTTCAGGTACTGCCAACTGGGCCTCGCTGCCCTTTGAGCCCAGAACAGGAAGAGCTGCCAATAAGTCACAGGTGACATCATGCGCAGGGGAAACGCATGTTCTACCGAGCGGTCATTCACCAAGTGACCTGCTCCATTCAATGGACTTGTGGGTCTTTCATGCGGCTGAGAAGGCCTATTCGGGGCAGAACTATAACTACAAGTTGCATGCAGCACCAGCATGACTCAGACACACTTCCAGAGATTGTGAATGAGACCTGCCAAGCAGACACCCCTGATTTCTCCCATGTTTTTTGGGGGGAAACATGTAAGTCTTATGAGAGTACAGCTAGCTAAGCTGTGGAGAATGTGAGATAATTCTTGGGAATTCCTACCCTACCTGCTTTGAGTCTCCTTGTGGAGACACATACACACAGTACTAATACTACTAATAATAATCACACAGTCCTAGATGCTAGGGAAGTGTTTGACTTGTGATTTTGTGATACGAAATCCAGCATATAGATGTCGTTTGCTGTGACATACTGTGTTTTTGTGTCAAGAAAAACAATAATAATGATGATGATGATCCAGTACAACAGCCAGCATAGGAATCTTGTCTGCTGTGGACTCATCTTGTTGTGTTTCTAATAATAATAATAATAATAATAATAATAATAATACCTGCATGAGCACTTTCAGGCGGTCCAAAGGAGCGGTGCACGTTCTGGACACGGCCCCGGCACCTCCGCCCGCTACCAGGTGTCGCCACCACATCCCCGTCTGCCGCTCCTCCACCGTGAACTCATCCGGCACCGTCAGGTTCTCCCCCACGTCAAAGATCTGCAATGCAACCAAGCAAAACATGGGCATTTTACCTCCAACAGTTATTAAGAGATTTCCAAGACTTCCTGCTTTGTCTGGCAGTGTTTATATTGCTTCGAGGGGAATACTTTAGACAAGGAAGCAATTAGATTGCAGTTCTGAGTTTTCTAGGAACTGAACCGGTGTTTGTAGGGCATAAATCAGTTCTGTTTGCCTCTGCAAGTGGTCACGGCCAGTACAATTGTGCCACAGGGAACACCAAGAGTGGGTGTTTTGTGGCGGCCCTCTCCGCATCAGCACAGTCGCCTGCCAGCCTGGCGTTCAAAATGACCGGCCAAGGGGAACAGAACCTGGAGAGAGAGAGCTCCTGAGGTTCCCAGGCTGGCCTGGCCTTATTACCATACAAAGCGGGTGCCAAGAGGACCCTTGTTATCGCTTCCAGGGCTGGCAAGTTGCCTCCTGAGTGGACGGGCAAGGAGCTGGTCAGAGCCAGTCGCTCAAGCACACGGGGAACCCACTGAGCTGTTTTATCTCGATTCTCTAGTAACTTTTGCTGTTCTCATTTTATGAGTGAGAGGAAACGTACCCAAAACAAAGGAGTACCAGAATCAGGAAGAAACTGGAGCAAGGTGGCAGGAAATTCCTGATTAAGGATGGGCGTGGGGGAGAAGGGCACACTCACCGCCTAATAAGTAGCCCCTACCCTGCGCACAAGGAGACCTTAATGTTTTAACCAAGTGGGTCTCAACCTGTGAGTTCCCAGGTGTTTTGGCCTTCAACTCAACAGGATTTCTGGGAGTTATAGACCAAAACACCCACAGGTTGAGAACCGCTGTCTTAACCAAACAGCCCAAATTACCGTTGAGTGCTTCCAGTACAGGATAATCTCCGGAATGTTCTCCACCGGGTGCAAGAGGTGATAGTCTCGCCATTCGTTCCAGTCTATTGTCATCGTCCCATTTTTATCCATGCTGCAGGGATCAATCAAGAAGGGAAGATTAAGAGGAGGTTGGGAGTGGCCGGCCCATTCCTTTTTAGAAGCCCAGGCGCGTGAAATGATTCTAAGGCAAGGCCCGCAAACAGAGATCCAAGGACCAACTGCGACACTTGCAACAGAATCTTCCAAGAGACCTCGGGGGGCTTCCAGTTCAACCCCATTCTGCCAAGAAGCAGGACAATCATGTTCAAAGCACCCCCAACAGATGGCCAGGTCTAAAGGCCCTGTGCATGAGGGAACATGGGAGGTCCTGACTGGAGGCTGCTCCAGAGTGTTGAGACGCCCATCACAGGCATGGCATTCTGGAAATGTAAATACCGTGTTGTTTGGCCCCTTAATTTATTTCATTCTTCCTACTGCAGGTGGCTTTCATGCATGCTTTATATATGACGTCGCTGACGTTTTGTGTCATTTTTCCTGAAAGGGTGCCTTTCCCCCAACTGCTGAGCCCACTAAACACGCGTGACACGCTTCCCCTGGTGACGGACGAATGGCAAGGACATGCGCTTCGGTACTTACTAGGTGACCGGACCCCAGAAGTGCCCGTTCCTTATTCTGACAGACAGACAGGACAGGCAGGCAGAAGGGAGGGTGCAAAGAGGGAGAAAGGGACAAGTAAGTGATTGTTAAAAGTCAGCAATTGTGCACAAAGCAGAAAGCCTTTTAGTGTGTTAAGGCGCACAAAGACATGAAAACAGAGCACCTGAAGAGTATCACTACATTAAGGTGATTTCTACCAGCACCACCAGCAACAATGACAACGACCACCCTCTCCCATGAATTAAAAGAAAGTGGCAACCAAAGGCTGGCGACATTGTGCCTCTCACCTAGCAGGCAGCAAACAAGTGTCAGCTCATCTGCCTAATCCTGCAGGTAAATTTCCTTAGTCCCTTCTAAAGGATGGAAAGTTTCCACTGTGCTCCAAATAAAAGGGAAAGCAAGCTAGGAAGCCACTCCAAGGAGAGAATGGCCGTCATCTCACAAAGCCAGAGTCTGTTTGCTTTCAAGTCACCTGCCCTCAGGCCCGGACTAATTCCAATCATCCCTATGGTTCTAGGACAAGATACAGGACGGTTTCTCTTCTCAGTTGAGACGGGTCTTCCAGCCCAATTGGCAACAGAGGGAAAGAAGAGGAGGGTTGCCTCGCAAGAGCAAAAGGAAGCAGGAAAGGAGCAAGAAGGGCAATGGAGGGGAAGTGCCACACACGTGAAAGGCCGACTGCCCCGCTCACTCACCTCTTGAGGATTTTCTCTGCCTGCTGTTCGGAGATCTTGACGCCCAGATCACGGAGGGATTGCATGATCTCCTGGGCATCGATGCAGCCTGCAAGAGAAGGAGGGCAACCAGTGAGCAACAGGCTTGGCCAACCGAGGAAGGAAGGAAGGAAGGAGCGAACGGCTCCCTTCCCATCATCCCCTCCTGCTCACCATCATTCTTCTTGTCTAAGCTCTTGAAAACCAGCCTCAGCTTCTTTTCATGGTCTTGGAGGTAGTGGACAAACTCCTCAAAATCCAGCTGGCCATCCAGGTCTTTATCACCGGCTTTCACAATTTTCTGCAAGAGAAGAAAAAGAGGAGAAAACCAACAACATAAGTGGGTATTGCATATGCTTTTGCAAAATGGTGTGCACAAGCAACACACAGAACACTTGCTTTTTTCGTGTCAGGAGAGACTTGAGAGACTGCAAGTCGTTTCTGGTGTGAGAGAACTGGTCGTCTGCAAGGACATTGCTTAGGGAGATAGCCTGGATGTTTTGATGTTTTCCCATCCTTGTGGGAGGCAACACTTGCTGTCAAACAGGCTCATATACAAAGAGGAACCCTCAGATGAATTAATGCAAAGACATTTCCCAGCCAAATAAACTTTTGTCATATTTGAGGTTTCACTTAAATAGAGCCACCTGAGCCATATTGAGGGTGTTTTTAAACTACCCAACTAGCCTGGCCTCTCAGGCTGGTTCATATTTTTTGGGAAAGGATATCAAACAGTCATGTTTGATTTAAGAAACCTTCTCCTGTAGGAGTCCAGAGATAAGACTAGAAATTAGGAACAGAAATCTCAACTGAAGGGAGAGAAAAACACTTCCTGCTTCACCACATCATTACTAAACAAAGCTTTGTGCCCCTGGCACTGGAATATATCCTCTAAAGTGTTGCCAGGCTTTATCTCATTCTGGGGTGAAGAGATAGCAATGCACTCATTACATTCTGGCCTCTTTTCCTCTGTCAAAATCTCTCCCTGGGCAATGGAAAAGAAACAGTCTGTCCTGGCAACGGAGAAAGGATTCGCTTTGCCTCGGAATCAGCAAGAAAGCAAAGTAATGGCAGAGATTGGAACAGTGACCCATTTCGCAGCAACCTGCAGAGAGGAGCCCATGTGCCTCCGTCAGACGGAAATGCCAGCGATATAACGATACTCCTCAGCCTGGAGAGATATTCTACAGGCATCACAACCCAAGTTCCACATGGCATGCGCCTCTTGGCATTCACCCCGAGGGCACAACAGCTGTTTTTAAATTCAATTAGGAGGGAATGACAGCTTCTGGGGGGAAATCACTGCTGCTGGTAGAAGGAGGCATTTCTGAGAGATAACCATGGCTCTAAGACCAGCAAGAACTGGTTTGGTCACCCGACCGTTCTGACCTTAGGCAAGATGCTGGGGCAAGCTAGTTTTTTAGGAGCGGAGCAGAGTGTATCTTTGCAAAATAGATTAACGGCAAGGTCAGGCTGTTAACAAACAAGGAAGCCTCACCCTTCGCATTCCCTCTTAGGAGGAAACGGGACCTTGAGCTTCTGCCCCGGTTAATGAAGGACCCGGAGGAGCCATAACGTGACTTGGTCAACACCTGCTTTACCTGCTTTGCATAAGCATTAGGAAATGTGCCCAGCGAGATTTCATGTTGCAAGTCACCTGGAAAAGGCCAAGTGGCTTTTTAGAGCCATCCAGTAAGACTGCCCATACGGCAACAGCCTTGGAATGGTTGAAATCAGTTCAATTCCAAGGATCCCCATCAAGAATGCCTAGATAGTCACAGAATCGAGCCAGACCTCGCTTTGCTTTCAAAACCATGAAAGAAAAGGCACTTGAGCGAGTGGAATTAATATACTTGGCATTAAGTGCACTTAACACTGCACAGGAGACAGCACTGCTAAGACTTGCACCAAGCATTTCTCCCTCCTGAAGCTAAGCTTAGGTCTCCCTTCATATAATTTAATACTTTGCCTAAGCTAACCTTAATGAGGATGTCGGCCGCCGTTCGGCATGCAGTGACCTTTTGTACATCCAAGGTGGGTCTCGTCCAAAGACAGTCATATGACAGGTCATAAAAAAGCAGAGTATACTTTGGAGCTAAAGATAGAAAGAGACCTCTGGCACATCTGCGGATTAAGCAAAGCCGGCGGAGTCAGGGTTTCCCAATCGAAAGGCCCTCTTGGCCAAGACATGCCGAGGCCCAAATATCTCTTTCTACTTCAAAAAGGAGACTAATGTGCGTCAGGGGCAAAGCGGCTGTGTTGATGGCGATGCCTAGCTGCCTCTGCCAGTTTAGCCACTCCAGCTGAACTCACTTGGCAGGGATGCAAAAATGGCTTCTGAAATGACAACCCGCATACCATGCGTGGCACATAAATTCTTTTCTACATGTGGCACACACATGGCCCACACATTCATCTTCCTGCAGCCAGGAAATGACAGTTGGATCTCCAATGCAGATTTGAGGGTTATTAAGTCAAACATGGCTTCGCTACAAGACAACTCGAAAGGCTGATTCCCTGGAACAAGGGCCAGTAGGGGCCCTCTAGACACACTGGCCAAACCTGCTGCCACTTGACAAAAGAAAGGAGCTCTAATCCAAGGCATGAAGCTGCCTTTCCCTACACCTAGATCAGACCCACAATCAAAGAATTATATTTTTATATTACATGTAATATTACTAATAATATTACAGTATAGTGGTATAGTATAATATAGTAATATATAATATTAATATTGTGCTGCACTAATAATATAATATATTGTATACACATATAATATTGATAATATTATAATGCTATACAATACTAATAATTACACAATATAATAATTATATTTCATATTACCAATAATATAGTACAATATAGTAATATATAATATTAATTTTGTGCTGCACTAATATAATATATTGTATACACATATAATATTGATAATATTATAATGCAATACAATACTAATAATTATACAATATAATAATTATATATTTCATCTAACGTGCAATATTACTAATAATATTACAGTATAGTGGTGCAGTACAATATGGAGATGTATGTTAGTAATATTGTGCTATGCTAATAATATAATGTATTAAATTTACATATAACTTGTAAGCTGCTCGGAGTTCCCTTTGGGGTGAGAAGGGCGGCATGTAAATGTCACAAATAAATAAATAATCCGTTTGCTTCATTCTGGGATGGTGATATTCCAGGAAAAGATTCAAAAAGACAACTTGCAATTCTGGAGGAAGGGAGGAGCATGTAAAACACTCCAATTATTGCTCATGACAAAGAGATTAACTCATTCACACATTTAATTGCAAGTTTACCAAATGATGGAAAGGAAATCTATAATGGAGTACAGCCAGGCCCTGAGTTACAAACATCTGACTCCTAGTTAAGAACGGGGATGAAAAGGCAGGAAGTGAGAGGAATCGGCAAGAAGGGAAATCCTCTCCTGAAAGAGTTATTTATCATGGGGGGGGGGGGGGGGGGAAAGGGTCTCCAGTGAAGATTTATCACCAATTCTTGTTCCCACAACAAGGCTGTGGGGAAAGACTAGGGCTTTCCGAATCCTCACCCTCAAAGAGATCACCCTCTTGCGCTTCCTCTGTTTGCTATTGCGGATTGATATGCTTAAAGCACTTTGCAAGAATCTCTTATCTCTTCACAAACCAGGGACCTTTGTCCTTCCACTGCTGATGCCCCTCAAACCCTGGGTGTGCAATCCTTCCTTCTTTTTCACCTGTATCCTCCTGGGATACATCCACTGCCTTTCCTCTTTTGTTTGTGTAGCTATGCGCCTTTCAATCATTCCTGATGTACAGCTATGGTGGGATTTCTGGCCTTCCTCTGTGGCTGAGAGAGTGGAGCCAGTATTCAAGCCCAGGCCTCCCAGCGTTGCTTCAACCCATACAATACAATCAGCTGGCTCCTTCCAGCAACCACAAACATGAAGTCTCAATAATAATAATAATAATAATAATAATAATAATAATAGATTCTTGTGTTTTCGGGCTATAGGTCCATGTTCTAGAGTGATCTTGTCTGCTGTGGACTCATCTTGTTGTGTTTCAAATAAATAAATAAATAAATAAATAATAATATTGGTCATTCAGAAAGACCAAGAGCAGAGGCGAAAGGGACAGGCTCCGAAAGAACTTTCCAAGCAAGTTGGGAAACTCCGCTGCTACCAACATCCTTCCTGGAATGACTAAAGGCAGCGTTGCTCAACTCCATACACGCAGGGCAGGGCAACGTTGCCTGGTTCAATGGGAGAGAGCCCGAAAGAAGAAAGCGGGTGGCTTTAAAAGGAAAGAGAAAGCTTAACAGACCAGACCATTTGCCCGCCTGACCGCCTGTCCTTGTGCGAACCTGCCCGCAACC